TTCATCAGCAATGGTATAAAATATGTCGTGTTGATAAATGCCTCCTCCCCAGTTTCTCACTACGTTCATGTTGGCATCTGCTGCTGACTGCAGTAGGTTTCGTATAACAGACGCATTAACGCGATCTTCGAACGAATCTATAATAAAGACTTGTGCGATTAACAAAGCAAAGCAAAACGAAACGAAAACAAAGCAGAGCACAGCAGAAGAAACTAAACTAAACTAAACGAAACAAAACAAAACACCCAAAAAAATAAAATGACAAGCAAAAATCTAAGGAAGAAAACAAACAACTAAATCGAATTAGAACCCAGAAACTGACGAGGAGCCGGCAGAGAAGCATAAAAAAACGTTTTAGCGTTTCAAAAGTCGTTTCACAACACTATGTTCCCATGCACATGTTTTTGACTTTAAAACCGGAAGCAACCGTAGAAGTGCCTGCGACATTAATATAGACGATTCAAACACAAAAAAGTTAAGTCTTTCAACTAAATTTCCGTTAAAATAATTATATGCAAACAACTGCCTAGCCTGAGTTCATCCATAAACCGGATRTACGCAGGTTRACWACTRCCGCAAAYACATTCTATATTAAAAGTTTTAAAGGCTTCTTTTGATAACCCAGATCTCCACCTAATGTACGAGATGTTCCTAGGTGGTGTTTTATGTTGTTTCTGCTTTCCATTCTATGTAATTAACAGCTTTGCAACAAAGAAAGATGCGAGAAGGCAAAATGCCGCTTTTGATCTCCGCAATACGTGGTTGAGAATTAAAAAGCAATCACCAACCAATATCGAGCTTTGCTTATAGTTTGAACATAAAAAAGACATCGTTGTATATTTAAGAAATACACTTTTATCATGCCATTATATTTTTTTATGATAGAGATATTGCTAGATTACCACTTAAAACACACGGATGGGAAACGAACAGCAAATTGATACTAATAACGTTATAGGGTCTCAAAAAGAGAAAATTGAAGCTAAAATACCGAATAGGATTTTGAGTACTCAGAATTCGAATCATACTCGCCTAAAATATTTACATTATAGCATTACTCGTATTTTATCCAGTGCAGGCAATCTTTTGATACTGAAACAAGTATACTCATAATATGTGCTTTCCATGTTCTCCTTCGGTCCAAAAAAACACTTTTTACAAGAGACAAAGTTATTATCGCTAAGAAATCACGTGACCTAGCAATACCCAAAAATCACGACCTGATCCTATAACTACTTGCCAGCTAAAATTGCGAGGGAAAACTGCTTTACAAAAGAACGAGCTTTTGAAAGAAAATTACGGAAAATACCATAATTGTTACACATTACAGAGATTGCAACGGCGGGGGCTGTAGCCCGTCCTTTAACCATAAAAGGTAAACTGTTTTTTTATTATTTTCGATGTTGTTTATAACAAATAAGCCCATTTAGCCCCTCTGAAAACCATTCAGCCCCCGCCCCCCTTTTCAGCTGGGTCTGCCCTTGGATTGTCAGACAGTAAATGACTTGACAACAATCCTATTTCAACTTGTACCTGCAGGTATCCAGTTTGCTCCCTTAAGAAAGATCGGTAGTCTGTTGATCTCAAAGTAGAAGCTAAGACCTGAAATGCAATAATATACATGGGGTTAAATTAAGCCGCACAAAACACACCTTCTAATATCAAACTGGGTTACCTGTGGATCCTTTGATAGACTCTTGCACCAGTTTAACCTCGCGGAACCCTGTATTGACACTGAAGTATGATTTCTCCTGGCTATTAGGACTCTCAAAAACAAGCTGCAAACAAAAGAGACTTATAACCACAAAATGCAAYAGTCCCCTCCCCTTACCCCTTTGCATCAAGGTAACCCCTGAGGAATGTGCAAAAAGGAAAATACAGATGATAGATAAACAACAAAAAAGCAATGGATGTCCCATTGTATGAGTTGCTTTGGTCCCGTTTGAATGTACATGTATACTTAACCTTACTTTAATGCTGTACAACTTCTGCTTGCCATATCCTCTAGGCCACCATGATTCCACTTTATCAAATGGAAACTCAAAGCTCCCAATGTAGACTGTTTCTTTGAAGTCGGTCTTTAATTGGATTTTAAAGCTCCTTGTAAACATTAGCTCTGGGATACTGATGTAAAGAATTCCTTCATGACCTTTTGTTGATGATTCAAATATGACGGATATACTTATTACCCAGGGACTTCTCTCATCTTCACCTGTTCATTAAAAATAGTTTATTCCTGATTTGATTCTAAAGAGAAAGCTCTTTTGGGGTATGTCAGGGTATGTATTCACTATGTCAGGGTATGTATTCACTATGTCAGGGTAGGTATTCACTATGTCAGGGTA